AAACTATGGCCTTGGTGAAATGATGCTGGAGATCACGTGGCAGAATTCTGCAAGAACAATGACTTCTTTATCAGAAATACCTTTCCACCCCCACCCCCCAAATTATAAATGATAAGTATACACCTGGCCCTCACCAGATGGAAAACACAGGAATTGAATTTACTATATCTGTGGGGTGAGATGATATAGAAGCTCAATATAATTTTCCAAAACAAAACCATGAACCGACCATTGAACAGACCACCAATTACTCCTATGCAAGGTCAGGCTGAAGCTAAACAAAATTAAAACAAGTCCATGAGAGCCAAAATAAGACTTTGAGTTTATCCCACCTGAATTTGGAGACCATGTCATGAACAGATTCGATGCATTGGACACCGATGACTGAAGACCAGAGGAGTTGTGGGTAATGTTAGGAGCATCATACAGGAAGAAAGCAAAAGGTCATTAAAAAGACAGTAAAGCGAGAAAAGACTAAAATGGAAGTCAAAAGAGATTCTGAAACTTGTTCTTGAACCCAAAGAAGCTAAAGTAACTGGAAAAAACAATGAGGTAAAAAATTTGAACAGAAAATTCCCAAGGGAAGCTCAAGAAGACAAAGTAATGCATTATAATGAAATGTGTTAATACTTGAAATTAGAGAAACAAAAGGGAAGGATCTGCTCAGATATCTCAAGGTAAAAGAGATGAAGAAAAAATTCAAGCTTCAACTTGCAATATTGAAGGATTATATTGAAAAAAGCAGGATGGAAGAAATTACAGTCAGTAGACCAAAAATAGTTGGTCAATATTCAACCATTTCTAGAAGTAGCATACAGTCCTGTGGTACTGAAGGAAGAAGTCCAATCTTGACACTGTGTTCTTCTTCTTCATATAATCAGCTTCTCAGATTATTTGCTCAGCATACAGATTGAATTAGTATGGTGAAAGAATACAGCTCTCTTGTATGCCTTTCCTAATTTCAAAGCATTAACTGTCCCCTTGCATTGTTCGAATGACTGCCTCTTGGTCTATGTACAGGTTCTTCATAAACCCAATTAAGTGTTCCAGAGTACTTATTCTCCAGAATGTGGTCCATAGCTTGCCGTGATCCTCACAATTGAAAGTCTTGTGTAGTCAATAAAGCAAAAGTAAACATCTTTCTGGTATTCTCTGTTTTTCGCCAAGATCCATTTGCTCTCCAGAAATGATATCCGTTGTTCCACGTCCTCTTCTGAATCTGGCTTGAACCTCTGGAAGTTCCCAGTTAATGTATGTTTGCAGCTGTTTTTTAATTATCTTTAGCAAAATTTTACTTGCAATTGATATTAAGGACTGGGGTGTAAGAAATTATCCATTTCCCTCCTCTACAGTCTGTTTTCTTAACTTATGGTTTTTGTTAAACTTTAACTTACTTTATTCATAGAGCTTCAACACTTACTAGCGATTGAACTAGCTCAACAGTAATTTCTATACACTGGCCCCACATTGATGATCGAGTCTTCACATCAGTGGTTAAAAAGGAGGTGAAAACCGAGAAATTGATTCAAAAGAACTGAGGCCATTTAGCAAGCTTCCTTCTTCCACTGTTTTATTTTTTGGGGTGTGAAAGATAAGTCCTGATTTTGATCTTCTGCATTCATGGAGTTCTCTGCTTGTTGAGAAGTGGCAAGGCTAGACTCTGTATGGTGAGAGTTCCGTCTTAGCTTTGCACAAATCAACAATCCACTGTGCAAAGATTACAACCAAGGCAATTTAAGAGCACCACGAGGCACCAGACATGCTGAATTGGGTAGTTTTGGTCAAGCTTGAATTACTAGTTAGTTTTAACAATTACTTTTTAAGCCCCTTTAACCTCTTCTTTTAAGGAGCTCTGGTAGCTCTTCTTTTAAATAAACCCATACTGATTTTCTTTCCTCAGGCAATCTGAGTGATCAAAATGTAAGTTTAAACAAAGTGACAGGAAAATGCTGAAGAAGAAAAAGGTCGTGTTCAGTCCAGCCTTTGGCTGGTCACGTATTTTGCACTGGAATCGTGGACTTGGTTTCATTTTCTTTAGATCATTTCAGAGTTAAAATTCGCCATTTACCCACTACTGAAGATTCATAATTGTTCTGGATTAAGATCAGGAATGGAAGGGGTGCTTTTTCACTCTCCCAGCTCTCCTGCTCTCATCCCAAATCCTATGTCCTCTTTCTTCTACTTGGTTCACTCTTCAGTGACATGAATGTCTCCTCTAGGTGCTTCCAAGACTAAAAACCGTGGATGGGTGTAGTCAATTCTAGAGTGTGGGGGCCTTGTCTCTCCTTGAAATTAACTGCATTTAATTTGATTCAAGAGAAAGCTTTCTGAAAATAATAATGACAGTCAAACTCTCACAGCAGAAACTTAGAAATGCTGAGGGTAAAATAAGGCAATGATTTAAAGCATTTTTCTGTTAGCAAATGCATACGGTGTGGCGTGTGTCTGCCTGTGTGTGTGTGTGTTGATTGTGATCTTTATGGAGGGTAAAGTTCTTCCCATTTCTGCCATGTGGCCACATTCTTTCAGTGAGCTTAGAGGGCCTACTGGCATCATGTCTTTCTTTGCTGCATGAGTTCAAAGGTTCTGAAGAAGCAACCCAGACCCAGAAAAGTTACCCATTGTTGGGTCTAAATGTTCTTTCTAGTTTTCTCAGTAGTGATTGCTGAATTCTCACAATACTTTAGTTCACAACAATCAAAATACTTGGGGCTATTTGTAGGTAGTTTTAAACAATAAGTCTAATTCAAACTTGGAGAGAAAAACATTACAATGTAATGTTCTCATTGAAAAGCCAACTTAATATTTAAGAGAATGCCAGTGAAAAGTCCCTGCCAGCAAAGTGGCTGGTCATGGGAAGAAGGTTCTCACACCTATAGGGGAAAGTCACAGAAAATCTGCATCACTTAACACCTGGTGCCAGAGAGTTGATGCTAACTCATAGTGACTTTGCATAGGGTTTCCAGGGTGCGGCTGATGGGTTTGAACTACTGACCTTGCTTTTAGCAGTCCAGTGCTTGTTCTACAGCATCACACCAGGACTACTTCAGTGGAGTATGTTGTTGTTATTAAGTGCCTTCGAGTCAGGTCTGACCCATAGCAACCCTATACAGGGTTTCCAAGGAGCAACTGGTGAGCTTGAACTGCCGATCTTGTGATTGAAACCGACTTTGCAGTCCAGCGCATTAACTAAGCGCGCCACCTGAGGACTAGTAGACAAATTTAGCCTTAGAAGAAAGACCAACGTAGAAATCAAAGGGAATGGTGAGTGGCTAATCAGGACTTGTGAGTCTCTGTGAAAGGGTCAAATGGCCAAATTATTTCTTTAAATGCATAAATTAAATATGCTGTATCCATCCACGTTTGTAATTCTAAATCTTCAATAAAATAATGACACTGTTAAGGCATAGCATTTCCAGCGTTGCAGAAATGCAGACAGATTCAGTAACAAGAATTTTAACAGTCCATTTTTAATAAGAAAAGCAAGTTGCAGAACAGAGTGATCCCAACCCCAATATGTGGGAGAATTAATTGGCTTTCAAGAAGGTTTTATTGTTCACATTCAAGAGAGTATAAAAACATGGAAACCAATCTATTGGAAAAAATTCTCTAACAAGTTCATAACCACAGGTCCTGCCTGTGGTTTCATTTTGGTATGAAATAGAAAATGATGTGAACACCGCAGATCTGCAACCAATGACTTGAGATAGCCACTGGGAGTGGGTGTATCTTGGGACTTGGAATAGGATTCCAAAGTATGTTTTGGCAAAATGATCACATCATTCCTTGGTGGTAACAAGTGTTTTCAAATTCTAGCATAGACCTCCTCATGTTATTTTGGTATGGAATGCATATCAAATATGGAAACTCTCAAATAATGAGTATAAAGACCTTGGAGTGCGGTGTGTCACTGTAGGATAAACACTGGACTGAAAGGTTGGTTTGAACCACAAGTTTGGAGGTTTCAACCCACCACAAGCTTGGAGGTTCAAACCCACCAGCACTCTTCAGAACCCCTGCACCACAGGGGCGCTGTGAGTAGGAACCGACTCGAAGGCACTTAACAACAACAACAACAATAACATAAAGACTTTAGTATCATTACTAGTCCGAACCAACTCAACGGCACTCAGTAACAACTACAGTGAAGACTTTCTGTATCAGAGAATGTAGAGGATTTGTAGCCGATGCGTATTTCAGTATGTTTGATGTTTATTACAAGTGTGCAGTTTCTACTCTTTTCTGCTCCAGTCTTCAGTTGATCAATGAATAATGATGTCACAATGACAAAGAGAAGGATTATGGCTGTTGTTGTTAAATGCCATCGAGTCAGTTCTGACTCATAGTGGTCCTGGGTAGGGTGCCCAAGGGGCAGTTAGTGGGTTTGAACCGCTGATCTTGCTTATCCTACAGTGCCACTCCAGCACTTCAATAATGATGATCCTAGAGAAGCATAAAAATGTCACAGTTGTTGGTCATTAATAATGCATATGAGATAAATAGAAAACATACATGAAAGGGCTTCAAAAAGCTCATCAAGAAGCTCCATTATCTTTTCATCCCACTTTTCCCTGAATTTTTTGAAGCCTTTTCATCACTGGGTGGGTAGTCCATTTAGTGTGCCCATTTAAATGATCTGTGTGGACTTCAACACCTTGCTCACTTGTGGGAGTCATCAGGAGTTTACATTTGACAGACAGCTCAAAATCACGTCTCCAAAGAACTTTCTCTTCCATCACACCTTTGTCACACTTAGCAGATGCCCACATGGAGAACTGGTACATTTTGACGGTGAATACATGATTGATTGCACAGGAGCCATTCTTTCTGTGGTTGTTGGAGAGAAAAAATAAAATTCTGTCCAAGTCAGTTGATGTGAACCCACCTGAGTCCTAATAGTCCAGGAACGGGGCATGGCGCCCTTCATGAAGGACTTCAATGAGCCCTTTCTCTTGGACTTGGATTGACATTGCTTTCTTCTGTCTCTCTGTTATCCCAAGAATGCCGTCCCAGCAGGACCAGCAGCAGCGTCGAAAATTTGCAGCTGCCATCTTGGCATTCATTTTCATCTTGGCAGCTGTGGACAATGTGGAAGCAGGGAAGAAAGAGAAGCCAGGTAAGCAGAAGGTTGGACAGCAAGATGGAGCATGTCCAGCCCGCTGACTTGGTTTTAATCCTACTTCCCTCCCTACCATTTATCTTCCTTTTTTGACACTCTTCTTTGTCTTCTTCCTTCTCTGCTCCTCTCTTTCTTTTTTTCTTCCTTCCTGTCTTCTTTCCTTCTAAGTATTTAGAGAGCCCTGAATGTTCCCTTTCATTTCCTCCCACTGTAATCTTGGAGTACGCGTGCTGATTCTCAGGAAGATGATGACTACATTGGTAGCTTCCATGTACAGAATGCTGTAAGGAACATTAACCAGAAATCAGATGCTTTATTTACATTGCCTTCAAAAACCCTCAAAAAAACCCCCACAAAGCAGATTTTAAATCTCAGATTTACAGAGGAGCAACTGAAGCCCAGAGAAGATAAATGACCTTCCCAATCCTCTCAGTAAACGGGCGTCTGAGTCCACCATTTTTCCATCATGACATTTCTTCTACAAGATGAGAAGGGAAGCACTGACTTACACTGATTGGTTACGGAAACAATTTTTATTTCTAATTGATTGCATTTTTCATTCTGCTTTTGGCCATCTCTTCTATAGAACCAGGCAAACCACTTAGCACAGTCCTTGATCCATAAAAAGAGGGCCATTCGTATTAGTTCTAGCTCTTTCTGTTTTCCTTCTCCCGTCTTCTGGTGACTTTGGGATTCAGTCATTCAGGTAACAACTGTCAGCTTCCTCCCATTGACTGGGCACTGAGGTAGAAAGAATTGACCTAGTAAATAAGGTGTTCAGGAATGGCCTTGGATGTACCTAGGAGTTCCAGCATGCTCTGCAAGCTGATGATTTCTCCATCATTTCTTCCAGAAAAAAAAGTGAAGAAGTCTGACTGTGGGGAGTGGCAGTGGAGCGTGTGTGTGCCCACCAGCGGGGACTGTGGACTGGGCACCAGGGAGGGCACCCGGACTGGTGCCGAGTGCAAGCAAACCATGAAGACTCAGCGCTGCAAGATCCCTTGCAACTGGAAAAAGCAATTTGGAGGTACGTCCGGCCTATTGTCCCACTGACACTTTCTTCCACTCAGATTATTTTCTGTTTCTTCCATGAAATGCTTTTTTAAAGTTGACTACTGCTGTACCACTGCGGGTTAATGCATTGGATTGCAAGGGCAGTTTGAACCACAAGGTTGACGGTTTAAGCTCACCATTTGCTCCTTGAAAACCCTATATATGGGGTCACTATGAGTAGGAACCGACTTGACGGCACATAACAACGACAACTACTACTTGTTTAAGATAGTTTATTTGATCTGACATAAAATGACCCCGGGGCTTCTGACCCTTGGAGCAGATAGCTGTTTGTTGTGAGGGCCTCTCTGTACATTGTAGGGTGTGTAGCAGCAGCCCTGGCTTCTGCCCACTTCCGGTAGCATCCCACCACTCATCAATCAGACAGCTAGCAGTGGGTCCAGGTGGTGCCAAAGGTCCTCTGAGGGAAAAATGGCCACTCATTGAGAACCACCACCTTCCCCAATGGGAGCATGAGCTATCCCCTCAATCCCTCTAATAGCATTTATTGATCTAACCCTAACCTCCTTTTATTCTTCCATTCTCAGTTCCTTTGTTGTCTTTCTCCCATTTCCTATTTGCACCCTCCCTTCGCCATGTCTTCCTCTCTCCCTGGCACTGTCTTTTGACCTGTTCCTCTTTCTCCACACTGGTTCATAGAGCTACTTGTCAATTCCAGGAGGTCTGGTCATGGCTACATCTCATAGACTTTTCTCTCATTGTGGGTTAGGGGTTGGACTGCTAACTGCAAGGTCAGCGGTTCCAACCAGGCTTTCTGTGGAAGAAAGATGAGGCTGTCTTCTAAAGATGGACAGTTGTAGAATCCTTGTGGAGAAGTTCTACTTTGTTCTATAAGATCTCTATGAACTGAACTCTGCTTGACAATAATGGGATTTTTCTCACTGATGATAGCCAGTCCCACCCTGGCCTCTTCCACCTTTTGGAAACAAAATGAACCTCTTTTTTTTTTTCCCCATATTCTGAACTTTTTAACCGTAGTAGGACACAGAACCCCAAATAGCCTCCTTTTGTTCTGTAGACATGCACTGTGGCCCCCAGGGCATGGAAGAAGGAGTATGGGTTTGCACATGCATGTCTTTACCCCTCCATAATCTTTGGGGTGTGTGGACAGAGTGAAGACGTGGTGGATCCAGATGCATCTGATCTCTGACTCTCAATGACACACCTTGAAGACCCACTGACAAATGATCAAAAACGTGTGTCTGAAAGAATTCAGATCTAGAATGATAAAGAACTCTCAAAATGCACATTAAAAAAAAATGAAACATTGAATTGAAAACGAGCAAAGATACTTAGAAGCATTTCACTAAGGAGGATATGCAGATGGAAAATACATACATGGGAAATGTTCAACGTCATTAATGAGTCATTAACTGACCAGTCCATTGCCATCAAGTCGACTTTAATTCCTACGGACCCTCTAGGCCAGGCTAGCATTGCTCCCTGGGGTTTCCAAGGCTTTAAGGGAACAGACAGCCTCATCTTTCTCTCAAGGAATGGCTGGTGAGTTCAAACTGCTGACTTTTCAGTTAAAAGTCCAACAAATAACCCAGTCTGCCAGCGGGTCTTCTTTCGCTCCCCATTGTTGTTGGGTTTAAGACCTGTTCTGACTCATAGTGACCGTGTATAGGGCTTACAAGGTATGGTTGATGGATTTGAACTCTGACCTTGTAGCTGACAGTCCATTGATTATCCTACAGCGTGACACCAGGACCCCTCATTAGTCATTGTTGTTGTTAAGTGCTGACTAGTTGGTTCTGACTGATAGCATTTCTGTGTAGGGTTCCCAGGAGCACCTGGTGAGTTTGAACTGCCGACCTTGTGATTTGCAGTCCAGTGCTGAATCAACAGTGCCACACCAGGAATCCTCATTAGTCATTGTTGTTGTTAAGTGCCATCAAGCTGTTTCTGACACACAGCTACCCTGTATAGTGTTTTTGAAGAGTGAAAATCGGCCGGTTTGAACTGCCGACCTTGAGGTTCAAGCCAAGTTTGCAGTTAAGCCCTTATCCTACTCAAATCACAATGACATGTCACTACATAACCTATCAGAATGGCTGCAAACAAACAAACAAATAGTGCTAGCACCAAATCATAAAAATGATGAGAAACTAGGCCACTTATGTATTGCTGGAAGGGGTTGTTGTTAGGTGCCATCGAGTCAGTACCGACCCCTAACCATCTTAGACACAACAGAACGAAACACTGCCCGGTCCTGGGCCAACCTCACTACTGTTGCCATGATTGAGTCCATCGATGCTGCCACTTGGCCAATCCATTTTGCTGGGGGTGTTCCTGTTTCTCTGACCCTCCACCTTACCAAACATGATCTCCTTCTCCAGTGACTTATCCTTCCTGACAATATGTCTGAAGTATGAGAGACGAAGTTTGGCCATCCTGGCCTCAAAGGAGCACTCTGGATGCACTTCTTCCAAAAGGGATCTATTGGTTCTTTTGGCAGCCCATGGCACTTTCAATATTCTCCTCCAACACCATAACTCAAAGGCATCATTTCTTTATTCACTGCCCAGCTTTCGCATGCGTATGAGGTTATTGAAAATACCAAGGCTTGGGTCATGTAAAGCAGTACAAAAAACCCACAAACACACACACAGACACACAATCACCCCACCAAACTGATTGTCACAGAGTCGATTCCAACTCATAACGACCCTGTGGAACAGAGTAGTTGTGAACCCTTATGAAAGCAGACTGCCATGTCTTCCTCCCATATTGCTACTCATGGCTGGTGTCAAACTACCGACCCTTTGGTTAAGAGTCCTGTGCTTCACCCACTGTGCCACCAGGGTTCCTATGTGTAGCCCTACTCAGCAGTAACAAGGTGCCCAATAGGGACAACATACAGAGACTTGAATGTACTTCAGGGATGCTATAGAGGGAAAAGCAAATCTCAAAAGGTAGTAGACAGCGAGCGATATTTAATCATATAACAGTTTTGAAGGGACAAAATTATAGGGATAGAGTACAGATAAGTGGTTTCCAGGGTTAAGGTGGGTTCACACCCTTCTCCCTTTCTCAGTCCTACTGTGCTGCTTGGGAATGCTGCAAATGCACAGACTCCAATCCCATCAGGTAGACCTGTGTTTAGAATAGCTACCTGGCAGGTTTCTGGTCACCTTTCCTATTTCCTGATCTAACCCTCATGTAATGAAGGAGGATAGACCCCTTGTTTGTGATTCTGTTAGATTCATCCTGACTAGGAGCAGGAGAGCGCTGTGGTTGGCAGAGGAAGCCTGGCGGATCCTTGTGGTAGAAATGCTCTCTGTCTTCCCTGAGATATCATATATCTATGATTACATAGACCTCCAGATAATACTGCATAGAACTAAATGCACATACACACAAACATGAATATTAAACCAGTGAGACCTGAGCTGGTTCTTTGGATTGTATTGATATTTCCTGGTTGGGACATTGTGTGGGCATTATACAAGATGTCACCGTGGTGGGAAATTGGGTGCAGGACATCTGGGGTCTCTCTGTGATTTCTTAAATCACATGTGGAGAACAAAATCAAACATGGAGGACACACCTGTGTCTTTGGTGTCCTGCTGGTCCAATTAGATCTCTCAGAGATTTCTGTTTGATCTCCTCTTGCCCTTAGCGGAGTGCAAATACCAGTTCCAGGCCTGGGGAGAATGTGACCTAAACACAGCCCTGAAGACCAGAACCGGCAGCCTGAAGCGAGCCCTGCACAATGCTGACTGCCAGAAGATCGTCACCATCTCCAAGCCTTGTGGGAAACTGACCAAGCCCAAACCTCAAGGTAGGTCCCTGCCCCGGTAGCTCGGGCTTCATGTATTGGATTCATTAACTCACTCAAGCAGGATCTTCTGATGTGGAAACCCGAAACTTCCGGAAGGAACTCTTCAAGACGTCCCTTAGGAATTGAGTAACGTTCAAGAACTTTCCCGCAGGTAGCTGATGAGTTCAAATGAAACATGAACTGTATGTGTGAAGATGGTAGACATGACCACATGTTTTACTACTTCTATTATACCATGTGAACACTGGGGGCTCTATAGGATAAACACTGGACTGCTAACCATAACGTTGGCCGTTCAAACCCCGAGCAGTAGGTCCGAGGGAGAAAGGTGAGACTTTTTGCTCCCTTGAAGATTTATGTTCTCCAAAACCCTATACACGGTTGCTATGAGCCGGAACCAACTCGACAACACCTAACAACAATAACCACATATTTACAATTCAAAAATAAGATGGTAATAAAAGAAAAGACATTTTAAAAAATGGCATCTACTACTGCACATTTGGATGGTACAATCGCCTAATACAACTGAATTACTTAGCTCTTGTTGTTAGGTGCCATCAAGTCGGTTCTGACTCACGGCAAACCTGTGTATGGTTTCTGAGGAGCAGCTGGTGAGCATGAATCACTGACCTTGTGGTTCAAAGCAACCTTGCAGTACAGTACTTATCCTACAGAGCGCTACACAAGGACAGGCCAATTAAGGTAGTTGTTGTGTGGTGACCATATTTTCAAACCCTACATTGAGACTCACCTACTGACAGATATGAACAGATCTACGAGGGTCTTGATGTGTAAAGCATTTTAAATCAAAGCTCTTCCAGATGACTCTAGCCATATAGTGTCCATGAAATTACAAAAGTTGTATTATTTCTTCCTCCACTGCGTAACTTGATCCCCAAACAAACCCATTGCTATCAATTCAACTCCGACTACAGGACACAGGGGAATTGTCCCATAGGGTTTCTGTGGTTATGAGCCTTTACAGAAGCAGGGTGCCCCGTCTTTCTTCCAGACCAACGTGATAGGGCCTGTGTTTCTTCTACTGCCTTCTGAGCATTTATGCTGGATTCAGTTGTGTTATATTACTAACTGCATTCATCAGCGATTTTTAAATTGAAGAATGCTCTCTGCACATTCAAATGGAGCCAGACTTTGTCCCCGTGCTGGAGAAAGTAAACCAACAAGTATCACAGCATGGTTTCAGACAAACAAATCCAGTGGAGGAGATATTGTTAGGTGCCGTTACGTCAAGTTGGTTCCCATGTGCAACAGAACAAAACACTTCTCAGCCCTGTGCCATCCTCACAATCATTTCTGTGTGTGGGCAACTACCGTGTCTATCCAATCATCCTCTTCCTTTTGATGACACTCTACTTTTCCAAGTATAACACTCTTCTCTAGGTCCCGTGTGACAGGAGACATCCAACTTTTATGTGATGACCCTCAAAAGAGAAAAGAAAAATAAACCCATTGACTCATGGTGACCCCCAAGTGTTTCAGAGCAGAAATGCATCATAGGATTTTCTTGTCATCTTGATAGCAACAAATCACTAAGCCGTTCTTCAATGGTTCCAATGGGTAGGCTCAAATCACCAACCTTTTGTGCCATTGATGACCTTCAGTGGACTCTAAACTAGAATACTTTCTTGGCCTTTGCTCTTACTTGAAGTCTAAAATTGACCCGAGAAGTCATATGGTTGAGATTAAATATACTGAAGAAGGAATTTAGAAAACGATTGATCAGGAAGCTCTTAATCAATGAAAATAAGGAAAACAAAACAAAAACTTGTGAAACTGAAGGATTGGAAGGTTTAGTATGGGTCATCATAAAGGACTGGCCCCTAAGCCATGAACTTGATCAGTGAAAATACTTCTCCTCAATCTGGATATGTCTAGGTGCAGGCTAAGCCTGACGTTAATACATCTGAGGACCCATGCTGTCTTTGCAGACTTTGGGGACTTGTTTGTTGTACTGGGTGATTAGAAAGCACAAGGGTACACTGGGATGTGGATGGTGTTAGGATAACAGGTGTATATACCAACTATACAAATATCGGGGGTCCAGAGACACTGGTCAGATCTAATCTGAAAAACTGATGAAGTGAATCTCATCCCCAGAGAGAAGAACCCAGAGATGTGGCTTTCAAGTCAATTTGTGTTAACTCAGTTCCAGCGGGAGAAAGATGTGGCAGTCTGCTTCACATCGTGGGACCCCGATGGAGCCGTTCTAGTATGCCCTGTTGTTGTTGTTAGGTGCCATCGAGTCACTACCGAGCCATAGTGACCTTATGCACATCAGAATGAAACACTGCCCGATCCTGGGCCAACCTCACTGTTGTTGCCACACTTGAGTCCATTGATGCTGCCACTTGGCCAATCCATCTCACTGGGGGTCTTCCTCTTTTTCTCTGACCCTCCACCTTACCAAACATGA